AGTCTCAAAATACGCATCGCACCAGTTTGGGGGAGGCTGATTTAAGGACTTTAAAGGTGCTTTACAGAGCCTAGGACTTGCCAATCAGAAGGTCGGCGGTTCATAGAATCATAGAATCATAGAATCATAGAATCATAGAGTTGGAAGAGACCACAAGGGCCATCGAGTCCAACCCCCTGCCAAGCAGGAAACACCATCAGAGCACTCCTGACATATGGTTGTCAAGCCTCTGCTTAAAGACCTCCAAAGAAGGAGACTCCACCACACTCCTTGGCAGCAAATTCCACTGTCAAACAGCTCTTACTGTCAGGAAGTTCTTCCTAATGTTTAGGTGGAATCTTCTTTCTTGTAGTTTGGATCCATTGCTCCGTGTCCGCTTCTCTGGAGCAGCAGAAAACAACCTTTCTCCCTCCTCTATGTGACATCCTTTTATATATTTGAACATGGCTATCATATCTCCCCTTAACCTCCTCTTCTCCAGGCTAAACATGCCCAGCTCCCTTAGCCGTTCCTCATAAGGCATCGTTTCCAGGCCTTTGACCATTTTGGTTGCCCTCCTCTGGACACGTTCCAGTTTGTCAGTGTCCTTCTTGAACTGTGGTGCCCAGAACTGGACACAGTACTCCAGGTGAGGTCTGACCAGAGCAGAATACAGTGGCACTATTACTTCCCTTGATCTAGATGCTATACTCCTATTGATGCAGCCCAGAATTGCATTGGCTTTTTTAGCTCAAATCCCCGTGACGGGGTGAGCTCCCGTTGCTCGGTCCCTGCTCCTGCCAACCTAACAGTTCGAAAGAATGTCAAAATGCAAGTAGACAAATAGGTACCGCTCTGGCGGGAAGGTAAACAGCGTTTCCGTGCACTGCTCTGGTTCACCAGAAGCGGCTTAGTCATGCTGGCCAAATGACCCGGAAGCTGTACGCCGGCTCCCTCGGCCAATAAAGCAAGATGAGCACCGCAACCCCAGAGTCAGCCATGACTGGACCTAATGGTCAGGGGTCCCTTTACCTTTACTTTACCAGAATTGTGATAGTAGCCATTGCTGCCAGTACAAAATAGTTCTTGTATGTTCTAATCAGTTGCCCTCCATGAGCAACAGGGCTGCCACAACCTGCAGCAGTTGAAGCTTTCAAACCACCTTGAAAAGCAGTCCCGTGTAGAACATGTTGCAGTAGTCTAATCTAGATGAAACCAGAATATGAATTATTGTGAGTAGGTCCCAGATAGGGTCACAGCCGATGAATAAGCCATCTCAAGAAGTCTATTCTTATGCTCTTACAAAGGCTTAGGCGAAAAAGGAGGAGGAGGAGAAACCCACCAAAGGACAGTTGACAAATGTCTAATTCACTTTGCTTTTTGCCCTAATCTTGCTTGATGAGTTACTTTACCAAACATAATTCCTAGATTTGGCATAGCTGCTAGCAGGCAGACCCTCCTGCCAGGATGTCTGCTCAGCAGATGGTAGCTTGGGTAGCAATGAATTAATCTGTCAGATTTGGTTTCACTCCGTTTTCTAATCTTAATGTTCGACTCAACCCACTAAAAAAATGCCTGCCCAAACATTTGTACACATTTTGATGTGGATTTAATTTTTCTTAATATAATACAGTTTTGTATGCTATTTTCACCAATGTGCACATTTCTGTATGCGTTGCTGTTGAACTGTGTTGCAAAATTCAGAGCAATACAAATTTCAAACCATAGCAGTGTTTGCTTTAGGAAGCATGAGCTAATTTCATCTCTATACCTCATCCTGGTTGCATCTACCTCATCAAGCCAGGCTGTGCTGAGGTAGGGACAGATCCATCACTTTCAGTTCTCTCAGTTTCTCATCTTTCCAACCTTAAATTCAGTTTTCCACATTTCTGCAACAATTTGCAATTTTCTTTTAAAAAAAAAAAAATCACCAGCAAAATTCATCAACATTTTAGTGTGATTTTCTCCTAATAAACACATTTTTTTGCAAACCGTTTCCCCAAATATAATGCATTTTAATGAATACTCTTCAGCTGGAGAACTGTGTTACAAAATCCAGAGAACTGTGAATTTCAAAAGCTGTGTTTTCAGTTTCTTGCATTGTTTTGAGAAGTGAAAATTAGGTAGGTTTGCTGTTAGATGTGAACTGAATTGATTTCTCTTCCCCCCCCCAATCACCAGGGGAGAGTACAGAAGAGGCAAAGAGGCAGAGTCTGTCCCCATTTAGGAAGTTTGCCTCTTGGTCAGAAATAGCAAAAAGCAGGAAGAACAAGCTCAGCATGCAGCTCCATTGACAGAGATAAATGAACCAATCCTGATCCTCATTATAAATCAGGAGTGGCTAAACTTCAGCCATGGACCATAGCCTCCCACCCAAAGGTTATCTGTGCCCGCCACTCCAAAATTTGTTGTTTTATTTATTATTTATTAGTTTTTAATTATTGGCTGCTTCTTTGTGGTGCCAAAAGGTTTTTGGGAAACTCCCTCCCCAGGCCTCCTGTCAAAATCATAATGATAGCTATCAGAAAAATATATATCTGAACAAATCTAGAAATCCAATATATGTATTAGTTGTTGTTTTTTTCCATAGCCCCAGCAATATTCTTTACAAGAAACTAGGTGCAGAAGGAGTAACTTTTGAAACCGTGAAGATGACTTTCCCTGTATGTTACAGAATATAAATTAGCAGCCTAGTCATAACTCCTACATATCTGTGGCTACAGCCTCTTTCCAAAGGAAGCAGTGGATTCAAAGGGATGTCTTGTTTCCATCCTGACTATCCTGTCAGTTACCAAGATTAGAAGCTTGGAACTGAGCAAGGTACACAAATTCCTAATGCCACAGGACACACTAGATCATCTCACTTGAATCTTTTGTCAAAGTTTTCCTGTAGCCGTTTTGTAAAGAGGTTTCCTGAAGTGTCTGCAAGCAGCTTTTGTCAGTGTCTAATGCAACACACATATCTGTCCTGTTTGTGATGAAATACATCTGACTGGGTTCCATGGGGCTTATTCCCAAGAAGTGTGTGTGCATAGGCTAGCAGGTATAACACTGTGACTGTTTTCCCCCCTGTTGTCATTTGATGTCTTCTTTAACAGCTGCCATGCTAAACTGTCTTACTGAGATGTTTATATCATTAGCTGCCTATTAATCAGTGTGATTAAGAGGTGGAATATGAATACCTTAAATAAAATTGTCAGCGTTTTGTTTTTCAAGTTTGTTTGCTGCTTGTGAGTTCCTGCACAGATCTAGAGTCAAATTGCTGTTACTCAGTTTTGCCTGATCTATGTGAATCTTCCACTCCTGTTTATTTGAATGGCCAGTTACCGTATTTTTCACTCCATAGGACGCACTTTTTCCCTCTTAAAAACTAAGGGGGAAAGTCTGTGCGTCCTATAGAGCGAATGCTGGGGGGAGGCAGGCAGGAAAAGCCCCCAAGAGGCGCACACAAGCTTCGCACGGCTCTTGCGGGCTTTTCCCCAGGAGGGAGAAGGGCCTGACGTGGCCAGTCAGTCGCTTCTCCCTCCTCGTAGAAAAGCCCACAGGAGCCGCGCGCTCCTTAAAGGGTGCGCGGCTCGTGTGGGCTTTTGCGGGAGGTGGGGGAATTGCCATAGCCTTGCACAGCCTCTCCAGCCGGGAGAGGCTGCGCAAGGCTAAAGAGGAAGCCAAGGCCGCGAGTGGGATGGATCGCGCTCGCTGCCTTGGCTTCTTTAGCCACGCTTCTTTAGCCGCGCTGGAGAGGTTTAGCTCCCGGCTGGAGAGGTTGCACGGCTATGGCAGAAGCCAAGACAGCCAGTGGGATGGATCCCGCTTTGTCTTGGCTTCTTTGCCCGGGCTTCCCCCGCAGCCCCGAGAAGCTCTGGGAGAAGTGGACAGGCTGCGCACAGCCTGTCCGCTGCTCTTTGGGGCTTGGGGAGGGAATAATATATTTTTCTTGATTTCCCCCTCTAAAAACTAGGTGCGTCTTGTGGTCCGGTGCGTCCTATAGAGCAAAAAATACGGTACTTAACTACTTTAACCCATCACCGAGGCCATTTGGAAATGAACATGCATATGGGCTGTAGACCAGAAGATTATAGATATATAATGCTGCTCAAAATAATCACAGAAAAACTGTAAATCACTTTTTGGAGAGGGGGAGAGTTGCATATGCCACCTTAAGCTCCTTAGAGAAAAGGTGGGAAATAATAATAATAGCACTAGTAATAGGGCTAGTTCACTAGTAAAATGTTCTCCTTATTATCTCATCCATCCTTATTATCTCATCCTGTGCCAGTGCTCCATGGAAACACTCTTACTGTTTGCATAATTCAAAAAACTGTTGGAAGTGCTGTTTTGATAATGGAAATATAAAAATAAAGATAACGGAAATGGTAACACTGGATATTTGTTACACGGGATCCAGGGATAGCTGGGAGGTTTCATGTAGTGGCCATTTGTCTCTCTGAACTTGCTGCACTGCAAATTTAAAACATTGCTTCCTTTTTATCATTTCAATTGATCAAATTTTCATTGGATTCTTGTGCACTCGTTGCAATTTTCTACTCTGTAAGCATTATGTTTTTGACAAAGGCATGTCAGATTTTGGCCTGGGAAATTTTCTAACTCAGAGGCTGGGGGTTGTGATATAATGCTTAAACTTCAAGTGCTAGCAGTTGGGACTGTGCACAGAGAAGATATTTACCGGTGAATCAGTAGAAGTTTCTGTTTAGAAACACAAAGACAGTTTGGGCTCCAAGGTTCAGCTGCAAGGTGCACCGGCCTCCTGGGTGAACACTGGGCTCAGGAGGAAGCTGAATAGCTAGCTGTGGCTCTGAGATCCCAAGGCTCTTTTTCAAGCAGTTTTCAGATCTAAAATCCTTTTTTTTCTAATGGCAATTGGGGATTTCCCAAATGGAGCATTCAGAGCCCTTCCTTTGTAAACTAAAATATCACTGTGCTATTCCAGTACATTCATAAAAGACTTGTGTTTTTCTCTAGTTGTTTTGATGTTCTCTCTCCTTGTTGCCTTTCCCTTCTTTTTGGACATATCTATGCTACACACACACACACACACACACACACACACACACACTCTACTGGAAATTATAGTTTGGTGAAGTGCTCAGTTTTGTTTGATAACAATTCCTTACATCTGAAAAGTAGCTTCCTATGTTCCTAAGTTACTTACAGCTGTCGCCTTTTTTTTGGTTTGCAAGTAATCTATTCTAAAGATAAATAACCTTGTGTATGTGACACAAGAAATCCTGTTACGGTGTGCCATACAAAAGTTCCAGTTCTCCCTTAGCACTGTAGGTCATGTCTTCATAGGTCTTCTGGCTGAGGACAGTGAGAGTACCTTGATAATGTTGACCGAAAGTAACAGGACATATTTTCTAAGATATCTGAAATATGAGACTAGTTTGTATACCATACACTGTTGATGATCTCTTATTACCTTGGATGAGCTCACAGCTCCTTTATTCCCAGAAGTGCTGAGCTGATTGATGGCTGAAGAAATTCAAGACGGGTGTGACTAACCTTTCTTAACCCAGGTTTCCCTAGCTGTGAAATGTGATCATGCTGTGAAAAGTTAGGGCAATTGAAGTAGTGGTCCAAGCCTAATGAGAAACGGTTAAGGGAATTGCGTGTGTTTAGCCTGGTAAAGAGGAGACTGAGAAGAGAGCCATCTTCAGATATCCAAAGGGCTGTAACCTGGAGGATGGGGCAAGCTTGTTTTCTCCTGCTCCAGAGGCTAGGACCAGAACCAGTGGATTCAAGTTACAAGAAAAGAGATTCCAATTCAACACCAGAAATAACTTTTTGACAGTAAGAGCTGTTTGACAGCAGAACAGACTCTCATGAGAGGTTATGGACTCTCCTTCCTTGGAGATTTTTAAGCAGATGTTGAATGGCCATCTGTCATGTGTGATCAAGTTGAGATTCCTACATTGCAGGGGATTGGACTAGATGATCCTCAGAGCCTCTTCTAACTCTACAATACTCTACAATTCTATGATTGTGGGGATGGCATACAAAAGGCAAATTCATTCACATTTATACCTGCCTACACAGTTTATTAGGGACGCGGCTGGCGCTGTGGGTTAAATCGCAGAGCCTAGGACTTGCCGATCAGAAGGTTGGCGGTTCAAATCCCCATGATGGGGTGAGCTCCCGTTGTTCGGTCCCTGCTCCTGCCAACCTAGCAGTTCGAAAGCACGTCAAAGTGCAAGTAGATAAATAGGCACTGCTCAGGAGGGAAGGTAAACAGCGTTTCCGTGCGCTGCTCTGGTTCACCAGAAGCAGTTTAGTCATGCTGGCCACATGACCCGGAAGCAGTACACCGGCTCCCTCAGCCAATAAAGTGAGATGAACTCCGCAGCCCCAGAGTCAGCCACGAATGGACCTAATGGTCAGGGGTCCCTTTACCTTTACCTTTACACAGTTTATTGGGAAAGGGAAACAAGCAGTGATGTGAACATACTGGAAGTAGATGATTTTGGCAGATCTCAGTGATCCAGTCTCTCTTCCAACTCAAGCTTAGCTGGCCCAGAACAAAGGTCATTTCAATAACATTTAGCAGATTTGTATTCTGCTTGGAGATTTATCTGAAAATTCGTAGGTTGTATAGTTGCGAACATAATGTCATTGAAAATGTATAATCCATATTTAAATTTGTGAAATAAGACATTTAAACACAGAGACCTCATTCCAGCAAAAGTGAGCTGTTGCTAAGTCCTATTGAAAGAAATCAAACTTGCATTAGACATTACTAACTGATTCCATTGCTTTCAAAGGATCGTGCAGTGCTTTCATATTCCTATTTAATTGGAAGTAAGTCCTGCTGAGTTCAGTAGGGTTTACTCAAAGCTTAGTGTGCATAGCAGCCTTAGTTGCTTCTAATGCTCACTCAACTGGAGACAGAAAATAGAAAAGTTAACAGGTTTCAGATTGATTGATTGATTGTAAGATTTTAATACTTTGGCTTTCTTAATAAAAAGTTCAGACTGGTTGTATAGCAATATTTTTTTTAAGAAAACCTACTTAAAGTTCTAATTTTGTTAAGAAAAGAGATCTATTGGTAATTACATGCCAATTGAAAACAACTTAGGAGAGATAAAGTAAAGTATGTAGTTGAAAACGTAATTTAGGAACCACAACGGAGTGATTAGAAGTCATGTTGGAATTAGTTATGTACGAATCTAAATTTTTTTTGTAATATGTATCGATTTTGGATTGTTTTTGTTGACTGTTTTGTTTCATTTTTAAAATCAATAAAGCATTTTTTAGAAAGAAAGAGAAAAATTTCTGTCTTTCAAAATGAATGGTCTCACAAACGAATGGTTTCACTGGGAAACTAACAAGACCGTTCTTCAAAACTCCATGAAGAAAGAAAGGCTTTGTGCTATGTTTGCACTACAAAGCTTATTTGAGATCTTGTAGCTGAGTAGTTGGTCCAGTTGACTGTAACTGTTTAACACACAGCCCCCTTTCCATTTAATCAAGTGAGCATTTCTAAAGCATATAAAAACATAGACCTATCCACTCCAAGACCCCATCTGTATTTTAAGCAAACAAGTCAGGATTTCTGCTGGTTTCCAATTTGTGCTGAAATTTTATTGTATATTGGCTTATCAGATGCAGCACTTTTTCTTCAGCTGGAACCTTTTCCTCTTATCAATTCTCCTACATTTATAATTCTGCTTAAGCAATTCTTTTGGTGAACTGCTTTGATCAATATCTGGAACTTTTTGAAAAGGAGCAAAGGGGTACAGAATGTATTGATGCACATGTACCAAGCAATAGCATTAAAGGCAGGACAGCGAACAGCCAAATTTTGATGCAATGGTGTGGATTGTTGTTGCGACTTTCTGCTAAAGTAGAATGCACTGATAATGTGTATTTTGATTCCATTAATTTAACAAGCAAGGGCAGAAGGCAAGTTGGTCATGATCAAAGTTTCTGCAAACAGAACAGTGAATCTCTTGGTTTAGTTTACAAGGTCATAAGCATGTACACTTGTGGGTTGATCAAAGAGTAAATTTCATTATGTGGATTAAAATGTGTCCTAAGACGTCTTGTATCTGAAATTGGTAACACTAGATATTCTGCACTGCAAATGCAGCACCATCTTCAGTTGACCAGTTCAAATATTCACTCCCTGAATTTTTAGAAGTGTTTGAAATTTCCCCCTATATAAAATAACACATCATGTCAAAATGCACTGCTTTGGAGAGAAGTTTTGGAAAGCATTCTTGTATTTGAAGTGGTTAGTTTAATTTGAGTCACTTTCAGACAGTTGGGATTTCCTACATAGAAACTGTGATGTGTTATAGTTCTGTATGCGGGACTGTACTACCTTGGACAGCAAATGTTTAAACAGACGGTCATTAAAAAGAATGATAGTCCTTTTAATAGACTATCATTTAGTTGAACACACTTGAGTTCTCCAAATGAGAAGACTATATCCAAGGGCTTTACAGCTCCCCACTTGCCCCTCACCCCAGTTTGGTCTTTGAACTATTATTAGAGAACCAATGTGACCAGTTCTCAATTACTGGACTGTAGTCTGACTTTGTCACAAACAGTAAGCTTTTGTTAACAGCATTTCAGGAGACGCAGCCGAAAATAAATAGAAGCCTGCAGAGAGCAGATGCCAGTAAATAATCTGGGCCTTGGAGTAAGGCATTTTGTCCAGGGATCTGGCAGTCACTCTGTCCTCAGGAAGGGAAATATAAACCATCAGTTTAGCATTACAGCACTGAAGGAACACTGTGTTGATCAGGAGATTACAGTGTGGCTTCATTGCAGTTCTGTACCTTCACTTCTCTTGGGCTTATACATTAGGAGAGAGCTAATGTTGCAGATGTGCAAATGTACATTTAATAAAAAGCACAATATTGCTGGTTTCTGCATTCTCACAGCAAAAGGCAGGCCCACAGGAAGATTAAATGCAGGGCCTCTAGTCACAGTCTTCACCTCCTCAGAGGTGGATTGCATGATGGTATGCAGAAAATGAGTGCTACTAGGTTTCTTTAATGGGACAGTAAAAATGTTAATATGATTTTCAGTTAAATGTAGCTGTGTGGTGTTTATACTGCTGTGCAGTGGGGAGAAAGTCTATAATATTGAGATACGTGAATTGGAAAGAATTTCCATTGGTTTAGGTTTAGATGGGCCACAGGCTTATTAGCTGATACTCTGTGATGTAATGGTGTTGTCTTTTAGTACTTCCTGGAACCACAGAAACCTATCTATGAAATGTGGTAATTGATTAAGGCTTCTCCACCCCTCCCTGTATCCCTTACACAATGTGCTTGCTTAAGATAGTCAACAGACCTAGTAAATCAAACATTTGTATTTCAGGACTCCAGTAATGTGGTGCAGGCAATGTTTTCATTACATGCTCAGACATTTGGTCTGCGTTTTGAAATGCCTTCAAGCTATGGTGCTTTTAATTTTCCATTAAAGCTTTCCTGACCCTCTGTCAAATCGAGTACTGTATAAAAGTCTTTTGCCCCTGCAGATTGCCTTCTGCTGTAAAGCAGCAAAGTGCCCTGGCATTGCAAATGCTGCTGTGTTAACATTAGTTCTTTGCCAAGCACAACAGTCATGGCTCATAAATTCAGGCAGTCTTGATATACCAATTGTGTTAAGTACACTAGGTCCTTGAAACAAAGGGTGAGTAGTGTGGCGATAAGCTTAAATGTCGTTGCATTTGGGGGTTCAGCTGGGGGCCAAAGACATTTCAGTGGAGGGGTGGCAAAATGCACAGCAAGCTTCAGAAGCTTCATCTTGGATATATTCAAAATTAAAAAGCAAAGTATATTATGATAAGAATTATACCTTCATAATGACTGTAGGTATTAGTATTTCTGAGGAACAATCATAGTCCCTTCTCCCCAATCACTCAGCTCCCTCTGATAGTGCCCTGATACAAAGAGTGCTTCTTTATGCATGTTTATGAGTGTTTATGTCTTTGCTTAGTTGCACATTTCTTTCTTATCCACCCTTTACCATAAGGTTGGGTTGCAGTAATACAGTTGTGCAATTGAAGCAAGCAAAACAATGTCAAACGAAAGCAGCACAGGATAGGTTAAACAAAACAGAAGAGTTAGGGCCCATTAAAATACATTTACTGTCAAAGGCCAGGTAAGGAAGTATGTCTTTAGTATTTGGTGGAAGCTGTATA